CGGCGCACAACACAATGGCCGGCGGAATGGCTGATCGAGAGATTGAATGGATCGAGGCAATTTAAGGAAAAAATCTAGAGATGCAGCTGTACGTACATGCATGAAGGTAAGAGAGGCACGAGAGCAGGAGTTCAATCTGATGGAGTTGGTGCATGGTGAGGCTGCTTGCCCTATTTTTCTTGATTGACGCTGCTCAAAAAATTCAAAAGCCTTTTCTGGTAATTTTGAACTTTTTGTGTATATGCTTCAGCAACATGTTGATGGTGCTGTGGTTATTATGTTTGAACTGATGTATATACACTTATGATACTGATGGAGTACGCTCTAGGATTGTTAGTGTACTCCTGCAACCAACCTGTTTTTGAGTAGTAAGATGGCTGGGATCTCACGTTTTGAGGTCTCGTCCCTTTTCTCAAACCCAAAAAAAAAAAAAAACAAAAACAAAAACAAGATTTTAACGAAATAATTATAAAAAAAGGAAATATTGCTACCAACGAAAAATTGAAGCTATCTATACTTTAACTTATCAAAACATTGAAAAGTTATGTCAAGATTTAAGATTATATGTTTAAAAGTATTTTGCCCGTGCACACATGGGTGAGTCTTATTTTGCTCGTGCACACATGGGTGAGTCTTACTTATTGAATAAGTAAAGTAGTGTAGTTAGCGTAACTGAACCTGCATGTAGCTTGGAAGATTTGTTAGGGATATTTGCTGTTTATACACTAATTATCATGAAATACAATTTAATAGTTAATAGAAATCGAAAAAGAACCGGAAAATTAAACAGAGTTAAAGAACATAGCCTGATGATCGAAGCGTGCTAGGCATTGGACAAATCCTTCGATTCTTCGATTGCCACCACGATATGATCAAAATTTTGTTATAAGAGATCGTAATATCTTCTCCACAATTTCTAAATTTGTAACCTTCTCCCCTGTTTATTTTAATTTTTGATTTGTCAAAGCAAGTACTCGAGTCACATAATCTGCAACACTTTTAGAGAATTCCATCTGCAAACTTTTAAATTGACGTCTCAATGTTTGAAGTCTAACTTTTTTAACCTTTCCAACTCCATGGCATGATGTCTCCAAAGTATCCCACGCTTGCTTTGTTATAGTTGCTCCGTCGATCTTCTCAAAAACTGAATTATTCACTCCTTGATTGATATAGAATAACGCCTTTCTATCCTTCTTCTTGATCTCACAGTGGGCTTTCTTCTCGGCTTCACTTGCGTTACCTGCAAGATCGACAACTCTGTTCTCTACGATACCCAATATATCTTGATATTCAAACAACATCTTCATATGCACTCTCCATAGGTGATAATTCTTCCCATCCAATATAGGAATAGAAAGCAAAGTCGTCCCGTTTAGATTGTTCATGGCTCTGATACCACTGTTGGAGCAACGAACGACAAAGCAAATAGAAGTATAATATATGTGAGGAGAGTTTTAGTAGGAGAAGCAAATAAAAAAGCTATTTTTAACTCTTGGTTACTGTAGCTACAGTACTCATTACGTTGCTTTTTCTCTCTTTTTCTCTTAGGTGGAAAGATGCATGAATACCTATTTAAAGGCTTTACAAAGTGTTTCATAATAGAATTCTAGTATAACTATAATTCCTAGAGATAAGTAACTCAAATCCTTTTGGAATTAGGATTAACTTCAACAGTTTCAAGTTAATGATAATTACATAGTCCTCCAAGACTCTCATAGACAGATAAGTCTTTTCAAATTCTTCATCCTGTCAATAAATGGATTAGTTCAATCATCAACTTTAAATTAGTTACTACTAGCTAGCTAGAACATGTATGTAGGATATAAAAATTGCCTTGACTACAGTAGGGCCTAATAGAAGAACTCGCATATACACTTGACTCACCTGAACGGGTCAAATCCGCTCAAGATTTGAGTTCGCCAGAGAAAGGAAGCTCGCCGCGTGCTTGACTCGCCAGCACGAGTCAAGATCACGCAATCGCTGAGCTCGCCTACGCATTCGGACAATCCGCCAGGAGACCAGAGATCCTCCTGCACACTTGACTCGCCTGCACAAGTCAAGTTTACCCAAGAACTGAAGTCGCCTGCATATCCAGGCAATCAGCCATGTGACCAACAAGCTTGCCAGACTCACCAGAGTACTGGGCGGCTGCACTGTCACGTACATGGATGGGTCTTCCCATTCCCCACGACGTGAAAGAAAGGCGTACAGTACTCTCTGCCCATCAAGTGGCCAGTCAGATCCACGCAGTCGCCAAACTCGCCTATATACTTTACTAGCATGCACAAGTTAAGTTCATTTAATAGCCAAGTTCGCCTGCATACTTGATTCGCCTGCACGAATCAAGTTCGTCCAAGTGGCTGAAAGTCGCCTGCACGTTCAAGCAACCAGCTAGGTGATCAACAAACTCGCCAAGCTCACCAGAGTACCTGACGGTTGTACTATCGCGTACAGGGATGGACCTTCCTGTTTCCCGCGACGTGAAGGAAAAGAGCACAGTACTCCGAACCCATCAAGCAGCCGCTCACAATACGAGTGAGAGGCATGACATCTCTCAATAGTACATGGTCACATCCCATGATTCAAGGGAGTGACAATGCCGTCTCTCCTCTATTTAAGAGCCTCTCCTGGCTACAGGAAAGGGGTTCGCAGTTCATTGATTGATCCAATCAGTTGGTTGAACCATTAGCTCTCAACTCCCGGGCCTTGATCGTCATTGAACTCGGAGGCTCGAACTTGACCAATGCGAGCTTCTACTGCGTACTGAAGCTCTCCCGCAACCCTGATCGAATCGTCCAAGGGAAGCAAGCTCGGTGAGAGAACTGAGCGAGGCATCCTATCGCTACCAAAGTCTCCACGTTAAACAAGGAGGGTATTTCCTCCGTTTCTGTTATAATTTTGATTCATTTAGTTTGTAATAAGCTCTTCTTATCAATACAAACGAGATCCATGTTTCGGAAAATCAAATATTTACACCTACAATGTACATACAAACATTTGCTACTCTCTAACTTTGTTTGAAGGTGGTATATACGTGTGATTTAATTTCTTTGTCGCTTCAAACGCATCAGGGGGTCCACATTCCTCACTGACACATGGGGCCCACACTGGGCACGTGACTCGACTCAACCACACTTTAGGGTGGAGTGGAGATCGAGGTACGCACGCACATAGTGTTGAGTAATGGTTACTACACTATACTCTCCCAAGCAACTTACATACTGCTACGTAGTTGCGAGCTCCATTAATGAGTCATCAAATTTAAGAAAAGTTAAACAGAAATTCCGCCCTTATTTGTGTTGTAATGTTAAAATAGTTTGAGGAGAACGGTATAACTATCACTACTACTTTGTATTTGTTATTGTAGTGTTTTTTTTTTTTGGGTAGTTTTGTTATTGTGCTTGATATTCTTTTGGGAGTAACATATTCTTATTGGCTCCCCCCCTCCCCCCGAGGTCCGCACTCACAAACACTCCACCCACCAATCAGATGGCTGTATTTTGATGGGCCCCACGGCATGGCAGTGGGTGAAGAAAATGTGAAAAAGGAGAGAGGTTCGAGCAGCAATTGGCGGTGGAGAATTGTAGTAAGCAGACAAATCAAAAGGAGAATTGGAAGCTAATGATGAAAGCACAAGAGCCCAACACTGAGGAAATGCCCAAAACCATCTCTCGTTTATACCAGGACCTCACTGCTCCCGTACAGTCAAACTTTTTAGACTATCATATAAACGGAGCATGTCCCTTTTTTCTTTTTCTTTTTCTAAAGGAATATTAAACTAATATGATTTGATAGTACCCAAAGCCAAGATTATAGTTCCTCATTTGATCAATAAAATAAAATAAAATAAAACATATATATCCTTTGTTACTTTGTACGCTTAGTAAATTTTTAAATCTACATATGGTTATATATGTGGTTACAATATACTTGCGTCATGTTTGGATATTTACCTCATTCGTATCCAATGTTATGTTTTAGTAGATTTCACATTTGCTGCATATACACGCATTTTAAATGGGATATTCTTCGCTTGTCTACAAATATGAACACAAAGTTGGATGCCGCTTCCATTGTTCACATGTGTTTACATCCCTGATGATTAATCTTGAGCTGTTACGTGATAGAAAAAACAAAGACGACTTGGATTGGACCCACAAGTACGGGAATCTCGATCGATCATCTAACGAGCACAGAGGAGGAGGACCATAACGATCTCCTTAATTTAGACCCACACCTGCTTACCAACAAACCCAAACACGTACAGTGTTTAATTTGCACAACACTTACCACATTATCATTCTCTTTCTGCAGTCTCTCAAATGTCCTTTATATATTACCTTTGCTTTGCTGTAGCTAGCCTCTTCAATTTGGGACCAGCCCTGTTTATGTTCAACGGACCACAAAACATAACGCCAACCTCAGTTTCTCTAGCCGCCCAAAAAAATAATTAAAAAATAATTCACATTCGGCGATGAATTATCTCGCACGCATATGCATTTTTTTGGAGTGCTGACACGAGAAGGAGTATGATAAAAAGATCCTAACTTCACAAGCTTTAGTAGGAAAGAGACGAGCAATGCCAGTGATTGGGAATTGTAAAAAAAGGGGGTTCCTCTGAGACTCCTTCAGAGTTCATGTGAGGGATGACTGCAAAGCAAAATGAACTGTTTCTTCTTGTTGTTTGCGGGTGTCAGTTTTATTCTCAATCTGGCTTCCCCCACCCCCCCCCCCACTCCTCGAAGCTTTTTTGATAGCCTAAAAGTGGTCCTGGCTCAAGAGATTAAGGCCGAATATTGAATTGCTCCAACATCTAGATTCAAAATTTATCCCCACACATCAATATCAATTGTCACGTGAGTACCCTTGCTCCTATATAGCAAGATATATATAGAGTCCGTCAGTTGCATAAGAGTTCTGAAAACAGAAAAACCACTATATATATATATATATATATATATATATATATTATTATATGGTATTATTATGTAGCTACGGGGGGAGAATAGCTGCATCTGAATGAATCAAATACCAACATCACTGTTACAAGTGTTGCATATACATGGTCTACATTTTGTACAATCACGTGACAAAACTAACCAAACAAATCCTTTAAAAAAAATCATGTGCTTTGCAAGCATTTTAGCTCTCTGCGTGAATTATTCGTCGGCAGGTTCATTATTCTCTGTCGCTTATTGCAGTGAACGTCATCGTGGCTCGAGGTAGTCTCCGGGAGGAGTGACAGTGAGAAGCACCAGAAGAGCTTGGAGGCGATGGTGTTGTTAGCCTCATTCGCCTTGTTGTTATGGCTTCTAATCTTGAGATCCATGAAGTCGGGATATAACGGCTGGTTATCTTCTGCAGAATCGACATCCATCTTGCCTGTTAGCATCTTAAGAACCGTGGACATTGCTGGTCGGAGCTTGGAACCGTCTTGTGTGCATAGAAGGCCGACCTTTAAAAACATGCATGCTTCTTTGATTTCCATATCATCAGTTATGAAGGTGTCCACGATTTTGGCCAGCTCGCCACGTTCATAGTGGGCCCACGTCTGCAAGACGAGAAGTCCATGCATGATATCTGGGGGCTGGGGGCCATGTTCCTAATTCAGCATGGTCTCTAATAAACGAGAAAACTACATTCGAATATCTCCAAGAGACCATTTACTTATGTATCTTCTATGTTGAGGATGGAAATTTTTCATTAAGATTGTGCGTCGAGAAACAAGCATACAGGGAAGAGCATTATAGTTGGTTACTTATGGTTCTTAAGACTGATTATTTTAGCATTTGATGATAATGAATATATAGAAATTAATAAATCTTATAGGTTAACCAACTGCTTGATTTGCTGACAGGTCTCAATGTACAAGTAAACTAAAAGGAAGTTGATAGCCAATCTACTAATCCAGCACACAAACAGATAACTGTTCCAACTTCTTGTAGTAACAAACGATCCATGGTTATATGTTTCGGAGACTATTAATAATTTTCTCTTTTAATCTCTTGGAACTCCAAACAGACATCGTGCCAGGTTAGTTACTCAGAACAGCTTGAAGAACAAGGTTACTTCAGTTCATGGGAACAACAGCAAAGCAACAACAGAGGCTTCGGGCCAGACCAGATGAATTCTTTGTGATTTCTTATAACCTTTTTATTTAGCAACTTCCACTGGAAGTAGGAAACTAACTGTTTAATATTTTCAGGAGTTGAAAACACATAAATCAAAATTTCACTTTTCCATTACAGGAAAAGTAAACTAAAGTATAGAGTTTTTCAAACACGAGGTAATGGAAGCATAGCAATTGTCTAGATTGGAAATTTTTCATAATTTGGTTTACAAATACCTTGAGGTGTTCACTCAGGGCTTCTGATTATTAAAGTTCATGCACACTAACTACAATGCTAAACCTTGTAGGCGTACAGTATGAGAAGAGGATAAAAGTGTATTCATGGGAGTTATATTAATAGAATGATAAAGAAATAGTTCCAATTTCTCAGAAAATTAGTAAGGAATCAGATTGTGAAACTATGCTAGCTTATCAAACCCTCTAAATCTTGCAAGAAATAAACAATAAAAACGAGAAGCAACTTTGAAAGGGGAGATGAATTGCTGCTGTAACAACTTGCCTTACACATGCAAAAAACGTCCACCTTCTAGATAGTTTGATACCTATATGGGTCTCACGGAGAATGATCGAATAATATTAGTAAAGCCTGATTCCTGACCATCTAACACAAGACTGTTGTTTGAGGCGGTCGAACAAAGAAAAATTTCGGGACAAAATTTATAGGACTCATTGAATATTTGGATGTCAGAGAGAAGTTATGTAGTACGAACACATAAAAGATAAAGACATATTTTGGATGTGCCTGACAAACTCGTCAAACACGTATTATTGGAGATGATACTTCTGTTTTGGGTTTATTCTTTTGTAGTATCTTTTATGCACTGTGTTGATATGTCATTTCGTGGTGTGTTGATGCCGCCACCTGCATTTTCGTACAGCATAGGAAAGAAAGGCAGAACATAACCTAAAACTCTTTGAAGATCATATTTCCCCTTTGATAAATCTAATACTATTATAAAAGTTGGTTGATATGTTAAAACATTTCTCCCTAATATGCCCTCCAACACATCAATCCACACATACATGAGACGCATACATGAGACACACAAATACTTAATTTTTCATAATGTCATCATTGGCTACACATCCATCCATTCATACATACATGATGACACATTCATACTCAATTTTTCATAACCACCATCTTTATGACCATCAAAATTTTATTTAACCACACACTCATAACATTCATCCACTAACTCCTAACACTAAATATAACTTTCAAATTCTTCTCATAACCCCTAATCTTATTAAATCATATCACATTAATTACAGTTAAAGGATTTAAGACTACAATATTATAACTATATTATTTACTATAGTTAGATATATTTTATACACTACAGTAAAACTATTAATAGTTATATATTTTTTTTGTACTAGACTTCAATATTTATATATTAAGAAACTTTATATCTATATATTAGTGAACTATATATTATAGTTAGTCTAAGATGTACATTAATTATTTTTGAGGGATGTAAATTTATCTTACTTTTTTGTCACCTAAATGTTATTATACAGTTTTTACTCAACTTGCTCCAACTAAACCTTCCTCCACCTCCAATAAAGTATTTAACTCCAATTAACATCATTCAATAGTCAATGCATTTGATGTATAGAAATAACGCCCAGCTCTACACCACCCATCAAATTGTAAAGTACATGTGCATTAATTCAATTGGCAATTTTGAGACTATTATAAACCCCTGGAGATTCTTGTGAAAACTGTTAAAACTTAATTTCAAGATTGGATCCATAGGTCATATAAGAGAGTTGTTTATATTGAAGATTTTGAAGAGGAGGATTATCAATTTGCTTACAAATCTATGGTAAGTCTAAGTTTTCATACCAAGAAATTGCTAGTATATTTATCCCACTAACTTCCTTGAGTCTGAATGAACTGATCATGATATTTTGTTAATGGGTAAGAAATTCCAAGTTTCTTTGATAATAATCTCTTATATCTATATCCTACCGCAAGGGTGAAGTTCTTGTGACACCATTTGTTTTAGTACATATGCGTGAGTTCTTTCAAGGAGGTGAATGTCGTCGGAGGTGCCCAACCTGATGGAGGCTAAGATTCTAGGGAGAGGAGGGCATAGTAGTAAGAGGATGGAAACATTATGGATTTTGAGTTCTTTTGAGAGTGTTACTATTTGGACATTTTGTGGTGTTAACGTGCATTTGTTATAGTGAGATAGTTTTGTTCTGATTGACTCTGTGTATGTATACTCTTCAATGGGTAACAAGTAGTTCCTCTAATTAGTATCATGTGGACTGGAATACATAGTGTTGTTTTACATAGTGTTGTCATAATTGATTGTGTATTATACAATTTTCATATTATAACTGTTTAGAGGCTTTTGTTAAAATAATTGTTGGAAGTAAGGTGGGTATATTGAAAAAAAAATCAGGGGCTATACCACTGAGAGGGAGAAAAAAAAAAGGGCAAACATTTTGATATTTGTGAATCGTCCAAAAGTGAATGGGCCAACTGACTGATATTTTTAAAGTTCTGAAGGTTTATCTTAAAATGGGCCAAAAGATATGATGATATGTGACATTGCTCTAATTTTGACTCTAAGTCTTATTCCTTATATTTTATTCCAGATAAGGATTCTCTAAATTGCAGGCCTATAAAAGTCATTCTCTATCTAAAAAGGGCAAGATTTTAGAATTTAAGTTAAAAGTTAGCATAAAACTACAAATCATTTCATTGAATTTCTTAGAATTAATGACAATGATTTTAATCCTAGATAGTTGCCAACGCTAATAAATATTTAGCAGTTAACAAAAACACTGACATTAAAACTTACAGAGGTTATAAGAACCGTCAACACAAGGAGACCATTGAAAATCTTTTATATAGGTAGAATAGACAACATCATATCTCATGCCTTCTCAAAATTTTTAAAGATTGATGTGTCAGAAAGTATTCGATGATTTTAACACATACAAAAATATCAATTTATTAATCACCGGACTAGAAGATTTGTGTGCTAATTCAACTTAACATTGAGTTGAAAATAACATGTTTGAAAGCCTCTCTCATGCATAAAATGATTGGCCGATTATTTTTTTAACCATATTAAATGCATGTGTAAAAAATTATTCAAAGGGGAACTTCTTAAGCATAGATATATCTTTAAATGAGCATCATGATTATCCATTACACTTGCTATCCCTGTAATTTTTCTTAGCAAACATCAAGTGATTGGTGCTTTTTTGTATTTGAGATTTCTGAAGTTACTCATGATGACCAATTAGATGGATAATTCACACACACAAAAAGTATCATCACAAAAAATAAACATAGAAATAAATACACGTGCAACGCACGTGCACTATGCTAGTTACCTAAAAGTCTAAAACTCTAGAATCTCAAGCATACCAATGATACAATATAACTCTATTTCCTCTCACGGCTGTTAGCTTTTTAATTTATATTACAAATATTATTTTTGAAATTAGACATTGCGAAAATAAATGCCACAAAAAACTGCTGGAGTTTAATGGTAGGCAGGAAAGTATGTGAATTACAAAAGTTGAAATAACTGGCGAGATAAATATTTACTTACCCTTTCAAGAAGAAATTGTTCTTCATAAGGTAATCGTGTGTTGGTGTTACATCTTCCACTAACTATCTCCAATAGAAGAACACCAAAGCTGTAGACATCTGACTTTCGTGTCACCTGCCCACGAACTGCATACTCTGGAGCTAGATACCCTCTATTGTCAGAAAAACACGGACGGTTAGAAGAGAAAGAACCAAGTTATCTCGTAACCAGGAATGAAACAACGAAGAAATGGACTAAACTCACATGGTTCCTGCAACATGAGTGCTGACATGGGTTGTATTTGGGGGCAAAAGTCTCGCTAACCCAAAATCAGAAATTTTGGGGTTGAGGTCGTTATCAAGAAGAATATTGCTTGCTTTTATATCCCGATGAACAACGTGGGGCTGGACTTCCTCATGGAGGAATGCAAGCCCGCGAGCAACACCTATGCTGATTTTGGTTCGTGTGCTCCAGCTGAACTGAATGTTACTGCGGTTTGCACCTAAGAAAAATGAAAAGTACATGCATTTAAGTAATGCCTTCAAAAACATTAAATATTTGAAAAAAGAATAACCAAGAGTTGCATAACTTACCAAGAAGGGTTTGTGCAAGGCTATTGTTCTCTAGATAATTGTAAACTAGTATCCTATGATCACCTTCCACACAGCAACCATACAGTCTAACAAGATTTTCGTGGGTTATATCTGAAACTACATTAAGCTCAGTCAAGAATTCTCGTTTTCCTTGTCTTGACTCATGAGAGAGGACCTTCACAGCAACAACGGTTCCATCTTTAAGTGTTCCCTGCATCAATATAGTTAATTAATAGTGATGCTCAAATATAGTTATGCTGGAGTTTAACCTAAGCAAGTAATACCTTGTAAACAGATCCAAACCCTCCTTCGCCAACTTTATTGCCAGGGCTAAAATCCATGGTGGCTTTTCTCAATTCTTTATAAGAGTATATCTTCACATTCTCGATGCTTGAAAAATCTGAAAAGGGAAATAACAGAATCAATTGTATATATGAAGTAAACAAGGTGCCAGGAGGTAAAACCTTTGCTCCTTAAGATTGCATCAAGGCCAAAAAAATTTGAATTTGGAAATACAAATTCAAAAGAAATTGAGGAGCAAGATGTACCTTCATCAGTTTGAACAGTTTGGTGACCTGGAGGTTGTTTCCCCTTGAATATGCAAGAGAAACAACTCATTACTCTGACTAAACACTGATAAACCTTTCAGTGGCGAATAATGCTTCTAGAACTATGAACTCCTGCAAGAATTGAATATTCGTTTGAGGGAAAAGTTAAGTGTCAAGTTTTCATAAGACAAGCATCTGCAAACACACACAAACAGTGCCTTTTAATACTAGATATTTCAAAGTCAAGTTTTCATAAGACAAGCATCTGCAAACACACACAAACAGTGCCTTTTAATACTAGATATTTCAAACGTAAAACTGACTATCATGTTAATGTAAAAACACACACAAACAGTGCCTTTTAATACTAGATATTTCAAACGTAAAACTGACTATCATGTTAATGTAATTCATAAAACTACTACGAAACTACGTTATCTTAGCATTGATCCTTAGTTATTTGCAATGTAGTCATGTTTGTATAATATGTCAGGTTGTGCTAATCTGAAAAGCACATAACCGGGCATGAAATGAAGAGATGCCCAGGGACAACTGTACATGCACCGCACAGATGTGGCTTCGCATATAGAATGTGTCGATGCAACTTAGGGCTAATTTCTAATTGATCCACTATAAATCACGCGTATGCAATCACACTCAAACTTCACTTATAACACTTAAAATATACATCCGCGATATAATTTTCTATTGAGCATCACACTGGGTAAAGCAGGCCTTAATTTCATGTTTCTGGAGACTATGAGGATTAATTGGATAAAGCTCTCATTTGCATCGATCAGCCATCAAGTGTTGTATCATGTGATACGAGTATCGAATTGTAGTTGCTCAGGTACGGCATACTAGAAATTAGGAAAATGTGTTCTCCTCATTTTTATTCACCAAGGCTTGAAGCATATGTATTAGTGCCGACATCCTACTGCGCTTATCGATTTTTTTTTTTATAGCAGTAACACCGGAATATAGTTTTGGGGTCAAATATAAAGAAGAATCTTTCTTCCCCAAACAAAAAATTAAGCATGCGGCGGATCTTTATCTAGACAGCAAAAAAAAAAAAAAAAAAAAAAAAAAAAAAGCAAACCACCCTTTTAAAAGATAACCTATCTCGAATATCTACCTCCGTGTACCCAAAAGCGCTTGTTTCCTTTAGAAACACAACAGCTAAATAGTTTCACAAATGGAGGAAATTAATTGTTGTGACACGACAAAAAAAAAATTAGCAAACCCAGCAAGTGAACAGAAGAAACGTCAAAATTGAACGACACCCGTGAAAAGGAAAAGGAAAAGGAAAAGGAAAAATAAAAATAAAATAACCTGAACGGTGCTCCAAGCGACCAAGAGCTCCAGACCATCAAATGGCGCGCGTTAGAGCCATTTCCCTCTCAAATCTGCTCGCCACGACCAATTAAATAACTAATTGTTCATCAGAACAACAAACTAACAATTGGGGAGGGGGAAAAAGCTTTCAGAGCAGAATCGATAGCTTGAAGAAGACCCAGGAGGGCAAATTAGCAGAAGAGCAAGAGGGCATGATCATCAGAATCCTGAAGAAAGAAGGACGCATTTATGGAGATCGACGGAAATGGGAAGGCACGAGCTGGAGAGAGAGAGAGACCGAGCGAGCGAGCGAGCTTTGACTCGTCTTGGTCTGTCTACGAATGGGTGGGAATGATATTAAAATAGAGAGGGTGACACGTGGAATGGGTCAGAACTCAGACGCGGTGGAGGGCTGGAATTGGCGTGGAGACTATTCGACACGGCTGGGCCTACTCTAAATGGGCCTTGGGTCTCATTTTGTTCACCGTTAAGGTTAGGTACTGGGGGAAGAAGAAACTCCCATGTTGCTTGTCTTACCAGAGTTTTTATTCACACGCGGTGAACATCTTTGTATAATAGCTGCAGATGTCAGCAATAAACGTGCTTGTTGAATATATATTTTATTTATTTTTTCATCCGGGTAGAATCATAATTTTATAGGGGTATTTTTTTTGCCCTTTCATTTTTTTTTTCTCTTTCTTTTTTGGGCTTCTTTTTTTCAGGAACTTTCTAAAATATTGGCATGAACTTTTTATTAAAGCTCACTAATGATAAAGATTTTTTTTTTTTTGCAAGAAAAATGAATATGAATAAATACAATAAAACAATAATTAGAATTTATTGAGTCAATGTAAGTATATTATTGAAAGTGCATATCCAGATACATAATTAAATTTTATTAAATATAATAATTTGAAGTAAACTATGCAAAAAAGATTCTTTTAAATAACATTACCTATAAGAATTACATCATGGCTCAACTTTGAAATATTTGCCATGGTCAATTCCAAAAAAGATAGATAAAATATAGCATATTAAATGAACAAACATGCCTGGCAAAATTGATGATATTTTTAGAGAGTTAAAGTGACATTTTTATGTAAAATTTAGAATAGCTATGGTTTAATTTCTGCTGCACGTGCAATAATAGTGCTAACGGTTTAGGAATTAACTATCTCTTACTTGTAATTCTTCTCTGCTTCATAATCAAAATTATAGATCTAATTTTTTTTCAGAAAAAAAGTACTTGAAGTTGATTGTTTATGAAGCTTAATTCTAGAGAGATGCATATACTCAAAGTGAGATTATTTTCCTTTTCTAAATGGAAGAACCATATATCATCAACAAAATTAAGACTAGGGCTCACACAAGCATCACTAGTAGAAAACCTATGCATCATTGATGAGTTTTGCCGTCAAGGATGCCACAATTACAGTTAGGGATGTGTATTTTTGACGGCGACCCGTCAAGGATACGCCGTCAGTAAAAATCCAGTCAGGGAAGAAACATCCCTGACGAGCTGCTGTCAGTAATAGCTATTACTGACGGCATCATCCCTGACTGCGAGAGTTGTCAGGGTAGTTCTAGTTCAAACATCGCTCAGTGCCGTGTTTTCACATCCTTGATGGGCAAGGATGTTATGTACATCGCTGATGGGATATCCGTGCACGGTTTGAATTATCAAGTTCAACCTCCTAAGTGTTGGAAAATTCCTTCATACATGAAAAGAGAACACCACACAAAAGATGCCTTTCATATTGTATCTTGATCTCGTATATAATAGAATCTACATGAGTATAGCGATAGATCACAAATGTTAGGAAATATTATTTGTAGAGAGAGTGTTATTCTATTGACTTCTAATAAATAAAAAAATAATAACCGTAATATAGCGGGAAATAAAACCTAATCCCGTAGGCTCGTGACATGACCTTCATTTATATATTCACACTGTTAACGACCATGATAGGTACAACGATCAACAAATTTAATGAATTTATTTATATTTCATGGTCGAAACGAAAAGTCACATGCATGGTTAGCAAATTTAATGAATAAATCCTAACCCTAATCTTCAACTTGCTTGTACTGTCCAATACGATTTTGCGGGTATAAGAGCATCTCCAACAGCTTCCCCATTTCTCACTTTTGGAGAATTTAGTTAGGTTTTTGGCCCAACAGATTCTCCATCTCATTCCCCAAAATAGGGATGGAGGAGAAAAAAATGGGGAAGCTTCCCCAAATCTGCAGCATTCTCCAAATTTTTGGAGAAAAAAATTGATTCTTCAAAATAGGGAAGTTGTTGGAGTTGGTGTAAAAATTAGTTGGAGAATATGACTTTTGCTTCCCCATTTTGGAGAAAATTTTGAAGAAGCTGTTGGAGATGCTCTAACAGTGGACTTCGCTAGCTTGAAAATTATATTTTATAGGGTTTACTTGAATTAAATTAAAAATGTCTGGAAATCTTAAATTGACTATTGAAGGCAATCGCATTCTTTATAGTTATTATTATTAGTATTATTATTAAATATTAGTCCGTTAAATCTTTCATATCTTGAAATTAGCCTCTCGGATCATTGAAATTGATAACTGGTCCCTCAATTCTTAAGTTCTTTCGTTCAAATCAATAGAATTGTCATTAGATCCTCCTAAATTTTAAGTTATTTTTTTGATTAATCGCTCCGATATCAAGAATATAAGTAGCAATTAGGGGGGTTATCAAGAAAATGATATCTCTATGGACTATTAGGTCCCTCAATTCTCATAGATTGTTTCAAATTAGTCCTTCGGCTTGCTAATTTTGAGCTGAAAAAGTTAAGTCAACCATCAGGTCGTTGTATCTATTACCACTACTTGTTTTTTTTTTCTATTTTCAGTTTCAGCTTGGCTGACGTTAATATATATATATATATATATATTATAATATATATATATTTATATAATATATATATATATATATATATATTATATATATATATATATATATATATATATACTATATATATATATATATATATATATATAAGAATTAATGGGTGTCCCTTGTCATAGGAGGGGATTTGTCCTTGACGACTATTGGCATAGATCCCCACTATCCTCATAAAGTAGGAAAGAGTGTGTGAGTTGGTGGATTTGTTATATATATATAGTATATATATATATATATATATATATATATATAATATATATATATATATAGTATATAATATATCACACACACACACTACAACAACACACACAGCACACACAACAGCATTGATTAAAGACGCAGAGCGCGCGCATCAAGTCTAGACCCATCAACTAGGTGTTGAGATTGTGTCTTTAATTTTTTGTAGAACTTCATGAGAATTAGATAGGGTTGGAGATCTTTCATGATTAGGAGTTTGGGTTCCATCATGATTAAGAGTTCAAACCATATTCTAATTAGAAGGTTAGGCTAAAGACATGATTTTGGTTTTCCTATATATATTCTTCTATTGTTGGAGGAAAAACTAAGAAGAAGAGAGTAGAGAGAATATGTAGGAGAGAGAGAGAGAGAGAGAGAGAGAGAGAGAGAGAGAGATAATATTCTTGTAATCTAGGGTCTGTGGCGCCCCTATTTTCACACATGGCTACAGTTCAATGTGAACCGAGAGATGTCAAACATGTCGTGCGCCCACACTATGCAACAACACATTTCACTATCACAGTAATATCTCTCTAGTGGAATCAAATACAAGTGCAGGTACAAAACAAGCAAAATAAGAGAAATAAATGCAATAAACATGATGTAGAAAGAGATATCTAATATATATAATCATGTCTCAACTGAATAAACTGAATACAACTGAAGTCTGGAACAAACATGAAGTATCTCAATATGAGTCAACTGAAAATAAACTAAGATTTTAAAACATCGGGTTAAGCTTAGACATGAGATTCATCAATTAAATATTGGGTTGGAAATATGAATCATCAATGAGTTGGAAAATGCTATTAGTATAGCAAGAGTATTTTAGGAATTATGTTAAGTCATCTCTTCCTTCAGATGTACCCAACAACTTAAAATTCCCCAAAGAAAAATTCTTTAAGGACCCAAAATATGGGACCAATAGAGGGGACAAGTGAGGTGTCCAACTTATTATCCAATAGGAGGGGGACATCTCATTTGTCCCTTTTATTGGTCTCATATTTTGGGTCCTCGTAGCAAAGCTCTTCCCTAAATCTATGCCCTAAAATAAGCCCAACGAACCCTCTTGTTCATGCTGCAGGTGACGCCCTAATTATGACCGTGCTTCCATCATTAAAATGTCAACAATCATCCCTTGCTTAAGCAGTTAGGATGAGGAACTTAATCCAAGTTCCTAAACACCTTGTCAAATCTTAAATCTCTCAATTTTAGCTTTATCAACGAAAGAAATTGCAGCAGCCACAATAATACTTTTCTCTTTGAACTCTCTTTTATGGTTCCTTTGGCTTTGAACTAGACTGGATAATAAAGAATAATTTTCTTTTCTAATTTATTAAAAAGCCTACGGAGCCACCAAACGCTGAATTATCTATTTTTTCTAGTCACTAAAAAAACTACTTCTTTGTCGATCTCAATCGTAGAAAACCATCATTAGAATCACTAGAGGAGACGGTAGTGAGTCGATGTTAACAGAGAGCGAATGTTGATAGCATAATAGAGATCGGCATGGCACGAGCACCGTAGATGCAGGAGTAGGAGACATGAAGCTTGCCAAAGCAAAAGACATGACAACTTGCTAGAGCAGAGGAGGAGGAGTCGATTGGCCAAAAATACTGTATCTAACTTCCAATATTTATTACCAGAATTAATCCATACTGTAGCATTTTAAAAATGTTATTGTATCCCTTACAAAAACTATATTTAAATACGTAATTACTGTAGCAGAAGTAAAAAAATAGAGTTCGTGTTTTGTACGGGGTGCACAATAGTTCATTTTGTTGGATTTAATCTAATAAATCTATTTGTGGACACATATGATTAATCAATGTGTATTGCTATCTTTCAGGATAACCCACTAAAGTGATCAATTAAGTTGGGTTAATGGGTATTTAAATATAATCATAAGGTTATATGTGCAGATACCAGGTTGTAATTGTGATTTATTGAGGGGCTAAATTACAAAAGTACAACATCTATAAATAAGGGATTATGGTCCCTAACCTAGGGCTACACTCTCTAATTCTCTTCACCCCCATCTAGAGAGAGAAATTCGGATTTAGAGAAACCCTAAGGTTAGAAGATCATTGAAACTCAAATCAAGTTTTCTTCTATGGATTCAGGTATAAGCTTCCGCTCATTTATGATTCTTGTTAATCTCTTCGAATTAATCATGGCTATATGGT